TAAAACCACCATAAACCTGACCCTCGGGGTACCCCGGGCGGGAGGGTGGGGGGGGTCCAGAGGTTCCGACGGCCCCCCCCCCCCCCACCCCATACTGCCTGGAAAGGTCCGCTCGGTGGCCTAATCACAAATAATTCGACCGGCTTAAAACATGTCTCGCATGTATAAAAAGTTACTGAAACCATATAATTAGCTCGTTATTCTTAAATTTCTCATATTTTGGGATCTGTGGCGGCTTCCAAATCTCGATGCTTTAGTTTAATTCTTTAGTATTCACTCCGTTTAGTTAAGAAATATTTCAGTACACCGTTGGCTTTTGGTTGTTTCTGAGCCTGGAACCCAACGTCCATCTTTGAACGGTAATGGCCTGAAACGAGTGGTCGCCATGTTGTGCTTACATAGCATCGAGTGCATTGGCCTAGGAAATTGCCATTGATTTGCTTTGTTACTATGGGGCGTCGCGAGCAAAAAGGAAGAGAAAGCAAACGGGCAGCGGCTTCATGCCAAATGTTAGAAAGATTTCTGTCAGAAAAGTCGAAAACAGGTGAGGTATCTTCAGAGTTAAATGATAGTTCAGTTCAGAATGAGATGCAGCCATCATTACAGACTACACCTGCTACGGACACCTCACCCCGCAGTACAAGTAACAGTAAGTTTAATTTTGTGTGACACTGTTAACATTAAAGGTCCGTTTTAAGCGAAAAAGAACCCACCCAGGCAAAAACCAGCCTATGGGCCTGTTACTGTCTTCCTTCTTTTCTTTCATTTGCTTAGGTTATGCAGTGCATGAAGTATTCTAAAATTTGACTAAATCTTACTTTTGCCGCTCTGAATCTAACATTTATTAGAGGTCAGAAAGCTTTCCCAGTGTTTCCTGCAGATCGAGTAATTATCAGATTACCTTGCGGTCAAGGTCAACTTTCCAGAATTTGGAAAGTACAGTGTGATTGGCTAAGCTTGGGAAAGGAATGTTGTCTTCAGCTGAGCAGGCGTTTGTGGAGAGGGGTGAAAAATGAGCTCCCCTAAAAACGCCTGCGTGGAAGGCTACATCTAAAGGGCCAACAAGAGAAATAGATTAACATTTTAAAAAAGGAATTAAGCAACAAAGCTTGATCAGATGATGGACATTGAGTTTGAACTGGACACTGACAAAAAAGTAAAGACAAAGAACTGACCCTTTTTTTCAGACTTGTCACGCCCTTAAAACATGTATGGTTCAAGTTACCGAGAGTAAAATTATATTTAAATTATATTTAAATGATCCGAAGAGAAACAAAAATTACTTCGTTTTATTTAGGGTTCAAGTTACCAAGGGTAAAATTACAGTAAACATATGAAGGAAATCCAGGGGAAAACGACTTAGTTGGTGCAAGGTTCAGGTTAGCAAGTGTTCAAGTTATTGGTAGTCAACTATAAATGTACATGTACCCTAGAAAAAAAATCTACCTCAAGGTAGTCCACTCTGCCCAGTCCACCTAACAGCAAGGAATAGCCTGGTTTGAGAATGAAAGTCCTGGGTACAAGCCAAAGAGTAGGATTTAAGAGTTTCAGCTCATCTATTGTCAGCAAGCTTGTAATCTGTTGAGAAAAGTACCTTTAAATCACATGTAGGACTAATTTCATTAAGTAAAAACTGATGAACAACAGCCAGATGGATGCTTACCTAATCCTAACTTAGATCTCAGACACTTTCAAAACATTTATTTCCAGGCCTGGTATCTTTTCAATAAAAACGCTTTTAGCTATAACTATGTTTCCACCTTTTTATAAAGTAGCCCAAAGTCTGGAGAGAAACTGCAGGAGGTGAAATTAGAGGGAGGCCCGTCCAAGTAGTTAAACAAAATTTTGAACAGTACTTTATATTCAACCCAATGTAATTTACAAGTCATCCAATAACAGATAGGTTGTGGAAACAATCGCTAAAGCAGTCAAGAACAAAATGATTGAGCAATTCCAAGACATAAGTTTTTCCATGTGGCTTTTAATTGCACTGCCTGGATATCAGCATATTTCACCTAAAGAACATGGTTCAGAGATTTTTTCTTAGATGTTTCTTCCTTCTGAACCAAATTAAGGCCAAAAAAATATTATCTGTCGCCATTTTTCTTTTGTATAATGAAAGGTTTCTTCTATTTGATCAAGGGCACTGACATGATTTTTGAACTAATATACATGTAATGTATCACGTACTCCAAAAAGCAGTCCAAAAAGGTCTACACAATAACTGTTCATTCAGATCAAAGCAATTTTGAAATGAAAAAAATCACCCAGTCTAAAACTCAACAGACTGGTAGGTCTCAAGGCTGTGCTCTCAGAAAAATATTGCAGCAAGCCAAGAACTTTGAGCCTGTGAAATCCAGGGTGCCCAGTATGTGATTTTTTATGAAAAAACTAAGATTTCTTACTGTAGTCATCAAAAAGCAAAAGTAAGTTGCCAGGGGCCACTCAGGGCACTGCAAGAGCTCAGTCCTGCATGCAGGCACTGTAAAAGAGCACAGTTCATCAAACCTGTTTCTCATTGATAATTCCTGGAGTATCATACAACCAAGTTTGTTTCTTATTAGGTTGATCCATCACAAAGCTTGGTTGAACAACAGTGATCCCAGAGGATCTATTATCTGGCTCAGAGGGAACAAGAGCTTGTAGACGCTTTCTTGTGTGTTTTCCACGTTCTCTGTAGTCTGTTTCCTCTTTGTCAATGATCTCATTGTCAATTTCTATTTCACGATCATCTGAGTACTGCCAAAAGGAATGAAATATTCAGTAAAGAAATCATCTTACCAAAGTATCTAACATTTCTATTGTTATGCCTGAATGAGGATGCCCGGCAAGCAGTACGTGGTTTCTCCCTGCCAGAAGCTACACAGAAGGGAGAGAAACCCCTGTAAGCAACCATTTTATTCTTTGATTGAGCCACCTTACAGTGCCATGGATGAATAAATCAGGTAACACTTGTTTAAAAACAAGTTAACACTCTCATGCATTTAAAATAATAACTGCGCCTTAATGACAGCCTGCTGTGAATTTTGCAGTCTCTTTCACTCTTTATCGTAACTGTTCCATTTTAGTCAAATGTAAGCAAACCAAATTGGAGTTGAATTCCTAGGGACCATATCCCGGCTTGTCATTGCTTGATAACGTCCTCTGTAAAATTTGACATTAGGCATTTTTACAATCTTACGTGCAAAAATGGCAAAGAAACAGACAAGTGTGATGCACATGGAAAGCTGTTGTTTTGCTTATTAAACCTATTGCTTTTTGAAGTTCTTGTTGCCATTGCGTCATTGGATCTAAAATTATGTACTGTTTCTTGCAAAATGAGAAAGTTACGTCATTTGACGTTTTGATACAGCCATCACATGGACATGTATGCTCGTTGGAAAAGCAAATGGTTGCTCACAGTGGTTTGTCTTCCTTTGTAGCATACCATCTGTCCTGGAGAAACCAATGCACACAGGGTAGAATGAGGGCAAACACTGTGCATAAAAAATAAACTTTGGACCCCAGAATAAACTTCCTTGCAATATTGAAAATTATAAAAAGAAGCAAAGGGTAAAGAGAATTGAAATTGTGGTTCTATTTGCACAGTTCCCAAAAATTTTGCAAACTACTGCTTTTTTCTATTTTTTTTTTTTTTGAAAGCAAAAATTTTGATTTTTTTGTATTTTATTACTTTTTATCTCCTAACCCTAATTTACAACAACAACAAAAATTAAAAAATCAAGGTGAAATAGCAATAAATAATTTTTCCAACTCAGTTAAAAGTTTTAACTTGAATTTAATTATGACATATAACATACATTTCAAGCCTGCTTAAACCCAGTCTAAGGCATAATATTTTATACCACAAAAAATCCAAAGTTACAACCCCTGCAAACCCTCCACCCAAAAGTGATCATTGTTACTTTGTTTGTACACAGTAGCGACCAACCATAGAATGTCCTCACAGTGAGCAATCACGACTTAAAACTTGTCCCAACTTGCACTGCATATTTTGCGTAACAATAGACGTCTTGTTTTGAGAGAATGCAATGTAAAAAAAACTTGACCATGGTTACTGCTATTGGCAAATTCTATCATTTGTTCGCCCTCTAAAATACTGTGTGACATTGCATTTATCCCAGCAATCCTAAAACACATGAAAAATTGGCGGGTATTGTGTATAAGGTCTACTGAGAACTTGTTTGAGTGCCTTTCGTACCCACCTTTTCAACACCTTCTCTTAGTCTCATACAAAGTTTCTTTAACATCCAGTGACTAATAGGAAACCTTAACATTCTTTGCGTAGTGCATGGCCACAGGCTAACAGTTGCCCGCTGCAAGAGGTCAGCTTTCTTATAAACACTGAATAGATCCAACAAAAGATTAAACAAAGACGTCTTGCCAGTGTTACTACACCCAACGAGGTAAATATCACCTTTATGATCCCAATGTTCTAAGATCTTAATCGCTAGCTGTAGGATACCAAAGCCAGACTTGGCACTCACAAGGCAGGTACTCTTAATGTTCGCACCCTCAAGACCATGAGCTTTACACATTGTGAAAAGCATTTTTTGGAGATGTTCCTCTTGCTTGCCAGTATGGCCGTCTACAGGAAGGGTGTCTATTTTGTTTCCCACTACGATAACCCGCTTAGCTTCACCCACAGTTTCAAGAAGATTCGGGAAAAGACTTCCAGGTAAGTCTAACAAGTCTACAACATAGAGAATCAAGCCTTTTCTTCTCTGCAAGTGTCTTAAGTACTCATTTATCTCACTGGAAGTTACAGTAATAGGAAAGGGCTTGTTGTAATGTTTTAGATTGAAGCATTTTTGACAGACAAGTGTTCTCGATGTCAAGCCAGTGTTTGAGATCTGATCTCCTGTTACTGGATTCTTAGAGGGGATAACGTAACCCGGCTTCTCGGGATCTTCGCTCTGGAAAACAGCCCCACATCCTGAACATTTAGGAAAAGGTTGTTCATAGATATCTGTAAAGGCCTCAATGTTCAATACCTCTGGTTCAATCGTGTCGATAAGTGCACGTGAAGTTTTATTTGTTTCGTAATGGAACTTTTCCAAATCAAGACCGTCCTCGTATAGAAAAATTTCATCACCTCGTTTACCAATAGAGGCAACCGTAGCAAGAATTTGATTTTCTTCCACCAAATCTGAATCCTTACCATTTTTATCACCAGAAAGGACAGATGAAGTTTTCAAACATCTGTTGAATATAATACGGTGGCGTGCCAAATTCACACGTAACTGTAAGGTAACAGTTCCACACAAGTTAATCCTGGAACGACTCCAGGACCTAAGGAGCCAATTCATTGTCCCAAGAACACCACTAGCTCTTCCCACCTGAAAGACAGACATCTCTCATCATAAAAGTTTGGTTAGCAACTTTTTCCATGGTCTGGTCCGCCATCGTCCGCCATGATTATGGCTACAGGTATGATTATTTAATCATATATGTAGTACCTACCATGGCTGCAATGCAAATCTGCTGGAAAAATGCAGGCTCAAAACAACCTCGACCCCAGGGTCTTCTCGTTTTTCGATATGGAAAGTGAGAAAGCCCTGGGGATGAGGTAGGGCTCAAAATCCTAATTCTCCCATCGTTACGCTTCATTCTACGCTTCACCAAAGGTGCCAGTGACCATAAGACCCCGGAGCGGGGGTGGGGGGGGAGCGGAGGTACTCTCCTACTAAGACGTATACGGACCTATAGGGTAGGGGTTTCGTCCTCTCTGTCCAACCATTCGTCTTTGGGATTTGATGAGATATGGTACGGTTCAGCACAGATTCAGTATATACTACTCCCCCCCATGGGGAAGGGGGATCTCGCCTTCCACGTGAAGAGGGTTGCGATGGTCGTTGGAAAAAAAGGAATTAAACCCCAAAATTAAAGGGGATCAATCTTGGCGAGACTAAAGTTTTATTTAACACCTAAGAAAAGCCATTCCAAAACACAAAACCAAAAAAGAATACAAATTTATGCATTCTACTTCTCCTTTCCTCATTTCTTTATGCCCAGCCCTAGAACACTAGAAGACTCTTGTATGAGTAAAAATATAAGCTTTTCATCCGGAACACCCCAAGTGATACTAAAATCTTCAATTTACACCCCTAAACGAGATGACAAGCACCGCCATGCACCTGTTTCATATGAAGAGAGTCCGCACCCCTATCCCCTTTCCTGAGGGTGTGAATGGGGTTAACCGACTATCGACAGAGGGCGAAAAATACTACTGACTACCGACAAAACGAAAAAAATTACCGACTACCGACAGCAAAACTATTAACCGACTACCGACATGGACCGACATTATCGCTATTTGTTTTCAAAAAGAAGAGTATTTTGTATTTTTTGGAAGTAACCAAATTAAATTTTGACTCATCAGCTAGTCAAACGGAAAGAATTTCCGCTTTCTTGATACAAGTACATGTAAATTGCTACAACCAATATCAAAATCACAGAAGTCATACGTTGAAAATACTACCCATTTATATATTTCATTGAAAAGGCAAAGGTGAAAAACCGAACATTTCTTGTTTCGATGGACGTCACAAGTCTTTACTCAAATACACCACAAAACGAGTATTGAATGAGTTTGAAGAGCATATAAAAATTTCTACGAAGACAATCCTCCCATCCCTAAACCTTCGAGAAATGCTTAGCTTAAGGTTACTCGATAGGGCTTTCATTGATTTCGCTTAAACTTCACAAACATCGAGACGGCTATTGGAGGAAAAAGCTCCCGTGAACGATTTTGGAAGAACAGTTCCCAGTGGCGAAATACGTAAGTTGTAAGCTGGTTAAACTAATTGCCGACTTTGCACAGACTGTTCAGGTACATAGATGTCAATGAGATCGGAAAGATATTTAGGAGTAAAATCATTGAGCGCTTCGCACGTTAATAGAGTACTAAAGTGTGACGTCATAAAAATGAAATTTGTGAAATTATGGGATTTGTCAGGACATTCTGAAAGAACAATGTCTAAGAGGCCTACTTGCCAAAAATGAGCATTTGGGGGCAAATTGTC